TATATTTATATTTATTTATATATGTATAGATACGAAAATAAAGTATATATGTACAACCAAATCGTCTCATGAGGTTTGCGCTCCTGTTCGATTCCGGAATTGATTCCGCATGATTTCCTTCGTCAATGTATAACAACGGGAGCGAACCTCCGGCGCCGATTGATTCGCCACGTAAAAACGGCAACGCGATTTTGCAAGTCCTAGAGGAGGAAGTTATTCGCGGCAGTGCCCGCTACTGGCCGCTCGGGTATAGTGTATTTTAGAGATATTTAGGTAAGAGGTTGACCATTGTGTAGACAACTTTTGATTGTGTGTACGATCCGCTATATTCGGGATGGTGCTTATCTATACAGATTTCTAGAGACGTCCCTACATCTCAAAAACATTCCCAAGATGTTTCGCGAATAAGTAAGGGAGCAAGATAGAATGAGACATATGCATAAGATAGAATAAGATGCATGAATACCTCATTACCTAATGCATAATTTATCTCATTCTGTCTTAAATATTGTCCTGAATATGGCGAACGGTCAATCTCTTACTTGAGAATCTCTAGTATATGATTGATGTACATGTTCGTGTATGTGTGTCTCCGAATATGTACGTATGTGTATGTGCGTATGAATTTTGTGTATGGGGTTTCTAGGGAACAATAAATAAAATCTATCTATTCTCATTTACCTAGCGCGAGACACGCCGTCGCTTTGATTTGCTGGTCGATCCACTCATCTATGTATACCAAACGCCCGATCGTTTTCTTATCCCTTCAGCCTTCGAGCTCTCGAGGGTAATCCCTCTTCTTAAATTAAGATTGCATTTCCTTCTAGCTGCCGTCGTCGCGACGTGACACACGCTCTTCTTCCCTTCCTTCGACAAAGTGCACCGGCTCTCCCCATCTCACATTTACAAAACTAATCGCCATTAACTGCGTCACGTCGGACGCGCGTTGGTAGAACTTAGTCACGATACAGTTACGCATTTACACCGAAAGGTACTATGTCTGTTTATTATATACAGCGGTAGTAATTGGTTACTGATTAAATAGTGGCGTTATTCGCTAACGTTATTTTATCACAACGATGATGAAATTAGCCCTTCGGGACCGGGGACATCGCACCTCAGTCCATTTTTCTAATGCTTTCGTCCTTCGTCCTCGCTCCCTCTCTTTCACTCCTGATTATGTTAAGTTAACCCCGACGATCGGACAGACGAAACAATATATACGGCTGCATATCGCGAATTCATCGTTCGTTTATGCTCCATTGTCGGTTTCTCGGCATTGCGCTCGTGGAAGAAATGATCGCACACCACGCGAACGTGGAGATCTTCAAAGTCAGGCAGTTTAGTCGACCAGTCAAATCCTGAACTTTTACGCCAGCCAGTACTTACAATGCGACTCTTCATATAACAGTAGAAAGAGATATATTATGGACATATCGCGCGCTGTATCGTGCGCTCGCTCTATAATGAAGAACTTACTGCAACAGTGGGTTAACCCATTTTGTAAAGACAGAAAAAATAAACTCCAAAATTAAAGTGATGGGAAATAGTAATACATTTTTACAAAACATGGATTAACTCATTATTGAAGTAAGCCCTTAAAAAAGAGAATTAAAAAGTTTAAAAAATTTTTTTCTCAAAATTCAAGTTCTTATATTGAATAAACTTCATGAACGGAATCAGTTTAATATTGTGTTTAATATTGTGTTTATTATTACATAGTTTGTGCTCTTTCAATGAGAATAAATAATTTTAGTATACTTTTTATTTTTTTCTAAAAGTAAAGAAAAGTTAATAAAATGAAATAGAAATGTAAAAATAAGATCTTTGTATAGAATCATAAAATTTAAATACATTAAATAAATGTATCGTGCATAAAAAAATAAATAAATAATACATTTTGTTTTTCTCCTCAAATATTATAATTAATAAAATATTTAAGAGATTCAATTTTATAATTTCAAACTACAAATCTATTTTAATTTATTTAATTTTGATCAGAAAGCGAGAAAAAGTTTAAAAGTATTGTGCGATATAATCCGTGTATCGCTACAAAAAACACACGTTTCAACTAAAATAAAAATTTTATGCAATATCTAATTGTTTATCCTTTTTCAACAAAATTCGATTTATCATACGTCTTGTAAATTTCTCTTGATTGCTTCAAATTATCTTTGCTACAAGTTTAAAATTTGACACATTATTCAGAATTTTGTTAGTTCAGTATTAGTTCGATTAATCGAGCGAAATAAACTGGCAAACGATTCAGCGCGCGTCTTTTACCGTCGTTTCCGACAACGCACGAAATCGAGATTTTCAAATTGACTAGATTAGCCCAACAAACTCGCGTGTTGCGTTCTGACGTATAAATCTGAGAAATGGGAAGAACTGGCAGGCAGATATTACCGCATTAGAACTGGTTCGTTTACTCCAGGCAGGCGTTGATCAACAAGACCGCTTCATGTTGGTCATGTTGATGGTCGATCATTCCGCACGCACTCCGCTCGATATTGCACGTTTTTACCCATGTTCGAATGGAACGTTTTAGAGCAACGAAACGTGCCCTGTTCGTGGGGGAAGACCGCTTTCTAGGTCTGCCGATCCTAATTAGAAACGAGATCATCGGTGACCGATCGGCCGAATCGAGTCGCCGAGTTAGGATTTTGGCATCACAGTAAGGGATAATAATCGTGTCCGCGGCCGCAAAACGAGATCGGTCACGAGCCGCTGCTGGTGGACAAGATCGGCAAGTCGCGGTGGGCCTGGGGATCCCTCGAATGCGCGTCTCGTACGGCTCGGGAGCCGAAGACGCGCTCGCAACCGGGTACAGTGCATCTAGCCTCCTCTTTGCGATCGTCCGAGCCTGGCGAAGATACAGGCGAACCCGAAATAGACGCATGCCTGTTGCCTTGCTCCTGGGTCAGTCTCGTCAAGTGATTTAGATGCTGATGAGTGAGGCCATTTAGACCAGCCAAATGAGATGCGAACGAGGTTAGACCCGGGAACGTGGCGCCAAGATGCGGTGGCAGCAGAAGTGGATGTGGTGGTGGTATCCGAGCCGCTAAATCAACTGCGGACGGCAGTCCAGGTGCTAAGGGGTATGCGCCCAACGCGCCGATACTAGCATCCGCATAGAGTCGTGCCAGGAACTCGTTGTGTAGCAGCGGATTCATTTGCGGGTCGTCGACACGCGGCGATAGGCTCGGTGGCAGGCTGGAGGAAAGCGGCGGGCTCGACGAGGTTGACAGCAATTTCCGGTGCAGATTGAGATTCGCCGAGTGACGATCACGAGATCGTTTCGAGGGAAAGGCTGCATTACAACCATCCACGCTGCAGCGGTGCATCAGTTTGAGATGGACGTTCTGATAGTGAGTTTTGACACCGAAATGATTCTGAAAGACTTTGCCACAGGCAGTGCAACGGCGCGGATTCTCACGGTCGAGCGGCACTTCCTGGGTGCTGACGAAGCCGCCGTTCTCGTAACGTGCGTACGTGATCAGGCTATTGTCCATATCCATGGCCACTGTGGAGGGTGAGGCGCTGGATGAACGAGAGCCACGTGAGGAGTTGTCCATGGTGATCTCCTGGTGGGTCGTGAGGCTGATAGGGCTGGTAGAGCCGCGGCCAGACCTCGAAGCCACCCGCTGCATCTCGGCGTACGGCATCGCGCATCGACCCTGCGACAAGGACTCGAGTTGACGCAAAGTGTTGGTCGAGGAGTCGTGGGAGAGGTCGTCGGCTGTCGTTGGACGGCTGTCGACCGAGCTCGGGGCACGGGGGGGATCATCGGGACGCTCACCTTCTTGATTGCGCAGCGCGTCGTCCATCTCCTCCTCCTCATCCTCCTCCTCCTCGACCTCCTCCATGGGCTCATCATCGTCGTCCTCCTCGTCCTCCTGGTGCTCTTCGTTGTTCGTCGGCCTTCCTTCGTCCTGTGTCACCTCGACGAGTTCTTTTTTCGCGATCGTCTCCTCTTTCACCCTTGACGTTTCGTCGCTTTCCGTGCTCAATCGTCGATCTTTCTGTTCTGACAATATCGCGTCGGGATCCTTTGTCGTCGTCGTCGTCGTTGTCGTCGTTGTCGTTGCCCCGCTTGATGTCGTGCTTGATGGTGGCGCATTGTCGGTCTTTGGTTCTGGAGTGATCTGTCGTTTCGGCGACTTGACCGAGCTTGCCCTTGAGCTCAAGTCACGCGGTTCATCCTGAGGTAGATCCGCGTTGTCTTGAGAGGAAAAAGTATCGCGTCGATTAGTCGTTATCTCGCGCTCTCTATTGTCGGTGTCCGGAGAGCGCGAGTCTGATTCACGATCATGAAAGCTTTTTTGATTCCTCGGCGAGCTGGGGAGTATCTTCCGCTCCTCCGCCTCAAGCCTAGACATCGACATGTCTTCTGGCTGATTTTGAAATTCTGCTATTGGTGCAATGCCGTCCGACAGACACCGCCGTTGAATTCGCTGCTCTTCGTCATTGGAGGAATCGCCATCGGTAGACGAGGAATGCACTTCCGCCGGCACAGCACATCTCGTGGGATGTTGGGATTTTCTTTTGCGTACACCTCGGCTGTGGAAGGAACTCGAGTTGAGTGAATGCTGATTCACGGAGAAAGGTTGCTGGTCAACTGTGCCCATCGAATCGTTATCCTCGTTGCTGTCGGGATTGCTGGCAAGATCTTCGTCGGCGGTGTCGCCAAAGTAGAGCTTCGGCCGCTTCGCCAGACTAAAATCAGCCGGTTGCTCGTCATCTTCGGTATGTAACGGTTGTAATCTCGATGGCAGATTACTGGTTTCGTCCTCCGCGACCACAACGATACCACCATCGTCATCGTCATCGTCCTCCTCGCCTTCTGGTATCATGGATGATGCTTGAGTAGATGGCGAGACTGCGCTAATGGATGCGCCACCACCAGAATACGAACCTCGCGTCGTCGTAGTCGTGGTCGCCCCGACGCTCGACATCGGCACTGGCATCGTCGTCGAGGCCGTGGTCGTTGATAGACCCGTGCTCGCCATTCTTTGCTGCAGCGCCTCATCGTACGGTCTGCCCTGACCTGCTTGCGTGGATGACAGATCCAAATGCTTGAAATCCAGCGCGCACAGCGACGCCGGCGAACGGAGATCTGGCGGTGGCGTGAGCAATGGAAACGAGCCGAAAGGTAGATGATTCAGTCCAGTAGCGGGAACCGGAAGTCCAACCTGCGGTGGTAATACTAGAGCATGCGCCATGGACGAGCGGCCGTCGTGTGGAGAGATTTTGCGGCGCAAGTGCGGTGAGTGCAGTTTCGGATTTGGATTCGCACTGTGTCGGTTGCGCGATCTACGCGAACTGAACATCATGCTGCAACCCTTGACAGTGCACTGATGCATCTCGCGTAGATGCACCGCGCTGAAATGGATCTTCAGGGCGCCCTTGTCGCAGAAGGTCTTCAAGCAGACGTTGCACTGTACGCGCTTCTTGCCGGTGGTGGGATTAATGAAAGGTGTACCAAGATTCGGCGGCATGTTTGCGGCGGCGCCCCATTGGCTGCCCGGTCGCTTACCCGGAGAGTGTGGTTTCCTGCCAGGTATGCCGGGTGGCCTGCCCAACGGCGTGGCCTGGAGCGATAACGGTGGTGGATGCCGTTGCTCGGAGGAAATCACGTGCTTTGACATAGCGGAGTCCCGTCTGCTAAGATTCAATGCACTATCAGAGTTTTCCTCATCATCTTCGTCTTCCTCCGAGCCGAACTCACTGCTCTTCTCACCACCGCTGTGCACGTCCGCGGGCACGGTAAGTCCACCGATGCAACCGGGTGATTTACCCATCGGTGGTGGCGGAAAGTGCGTTGGGAAGCTCGGTGGTAGCGCTCCGGAGGAGACTGCGACCGAGAGTGGATGACCGAAGGTTAACGCCGAGGAAGAGACCGGTGCGACCGGCATATGCGGCCTTTGCAGCTGCGACGTCGCGGATGAGTGATGAGGTGGACTGTGAGGACTCTGCGGATTCCTCATGGACTTTCGATTTTGCAGGAGCTGCTCCGCGGATGGTGGCGGCGGTGGTAAAGGCGGGAATGCCGGCAATCCGAGAGTACCCAGCTTTCGGAAGTCAAACGGCTGCATGCTCTGCAGCCGATTCAACGGTGACACCGTCAGGTGCGAGTCTAAGGAACGCGGAGGCGAGTTCGCTCTGCTAACACCGCCGGTAGGATTCGTCGACGAGGAGTAATGCTTCTGTGCCGTTGGCGACATCGAGGGATGCGAGATCGAAGACGACGATGGCGGTGGTGGCGGGGGCGGTGGCAGCGGATGCGGCAGCCGAGAACCCGGTGGCGGTAGGCCACAGTGAAGCATATGCAACGGGGGTGGTAGATGTGCTAGTGGCATCGTCGGTGGCGAAGGTCGTCTGCTTGGTGACATAGCATCCGTACCCGGCGTTCCGGCGGCCAGCAGCAACTGCTGCACGAACGGACGCGTCTCGGCGAACCTGAGGAACTGCTGCAGGACCAGCGGTTCCTCCTCAGCCGAGCAGATACTCCATCGGTCCAGCACCGGGCCGTTCTGCGAGTCCTGCGAACAGAAGAAGAGAAGAATTGTCTTTTGGAAGTCAAAGGAATCGTTCACGCGACAAAATATAAATCGCGAATACGCAATAACTTATTTATTTAGAACATTATGTTCATAAAAATTATATACTGATTTCTATAAATATCGCTTCTAAGAAAAAAAGACTAAAATCAATTAGTTATCACAATGAATTTTTAAAACAAATAGTAAGAAGCGCTAAATGCGGTCGAGGCTGAATCTTGATGCCTGTAATAATTTCTAAGTAAGTTTAAACACAGCTTTTAATTAAATAAACTGCGTGTCCCGATTGCTTTCCGAAACTTGAAACGTAATCATACAAACTGCAGCTGAAATAATAATATTGCAAATTAAATTGATTCTTAATTTAATGCGCTATTACGCATTTTAAAACACTGCAAAAAATTTATTGCGATAAAAGAAATTTTTAACTTCTTTACAAAATTTAATATAATAGTCGATAGCATAAAAACAAAGGACAAAGAATTTTTCCGAGGCGATTTCCTATGACATTCTTCACGGCGTTCTTAAACCGCCTGTACACACGATTACACTGTTTAGCCAATGCGGGAAATTACGTAAATGCGCAAATCACGCGGTAAAGAACACGCGATATCGTCGATCAATTCGCACAACCGCCGATGGTGGACGGGGGGAACGTTTATCCTTATTCGACCGTAATTACATGTCGCGATAAAAAAAAAGCTTCCTATATTGTCAACCACAGAAGGTCACGCGTCCCACTTGTGTTCCGTTACTTTTGTGAAATGGAATACGCAAAAAATGGCTGATAAATAAAAAGGTTTGATTGATGACGCTTAATGTAGCGGGTAATTAGTTCTGCTTCGCCTGTTAGCCAAGCGAGATTGCACTTAAACGCGTTAAGGATTTAACCTTGCATCCCGACGGAATGTATACATACTCTCGATCTGTCTTCCTCTCTCGCGTACCTACTATTAACGATCCGTTTTTTGCGGATCGAGTTTTAGCGATTTGTCATTATGCTCCGCTGAAAATCCCAGCGACATGAATAATTCCGCGGCAAATTCTAGTCAATCTCGGAATCAATTCGTTTTTCGCTGGGAACTAAAGATATTGGAAGTGTAAAAATAATGCTCATAAAAGTAGGTTAAATGGTAATTTGTCAAAAGTTACAATATTTAATAAGAAATTAAAGCAGCCCTAGACAATATCATTGTGCAATATCAAATATTATTGATCGTCTAGAGGTTATATCGAGTCTCCAGATTGTTTGTTTCGAATTATTTAAAGGGGATAATCAATAATATTATGCAAAATAATTGTATAATAGTATTAAGCGTCTAGAAATCTCTTTTCTTTGAATATTGTAATTTTCAATGTGTAATAATATTAATCTTTTAAAAATGTATAAAATTCTTCACAACAAATGAATGTCACTTTGGTCCATTCGTTCGATTCCTTTTGTTTCCACTGGATAAACGTTTCCTGCGAAAAACCGGATGTTTCTTGTCTCTTCGATCGCAACCTCGCTTTGCGATCGTGTTACTTGACAAAGGTTAAGCTTTTCATCTCGGCCTCTCTCGCTGAGATACGCATCCTGCCGAGAGGAACATTAAATCTGGCGATACGCTTTTGACGTTCCACATGGACGTCACGTATCGCACTCATGTGGAGTCACGGCTTCTTATAAATTCAGGGTGGCCGTGTATATAGAGCACAAATTTGTCTCACTCTCTTTCCGTCTCTCTTTCTCGCTCTTCTTGCCTCGCAGCTTGTATATTTACACATTCCGACGGAGCTCGACGTAACGCAGGACGCCCAGCGCCGCGACGCTTTTCGCGCTCGCGTCCCGTTGTATATTTCTTCAAGCACGCGCACGCGCCGCCGTGTATATCGCACGCACACGATTGGAACGAGACACGCACTCGTCGGCGGTCACACAGCAGTGTGGTCGCCGCCACTCCGAATTCGATCGCGGGAACGACGTCGTTATTTTTCGCCCCGGGCTAACCGCAAAAATAAAGAATGTCAGGCGAATTGTCGGCGATCGCGCCGGCAGATATAATAGATGCTACCACAAAGTTTTTGTTCTTCCTGACAGAATCGATTCGGCGCTGTCATGGCATTCGACTGGTGCCTCGATCTCAGAACTGTTTGTAAAGTATTTTTCTTCTTTTTTTATAAAGTAAATAGTATCTAAGAAACGATACAGTTTTGTACATAGACATTTTGAAATTTTCATTGATTTAATAAAATTAAAAAACAAAATATATGGGTTCAAATTGATCGAAGAATCCGAAAAGATGAAGCAGTATTGAGAGAAAATTGTTTGATATTTATGATTGATAATTGCATGGTAAAATGATTATGATTAGGAGCTCCTTTTTTATAATTATTATTGTTAACAATAATAATTATTATAGTTATACAGTTTATACAAAAAATATATATAATTGTTATTACTAACATTATAGCAGTAATAACTATTAAAAAAAAGCTTCTAATCATAAACATTTTATCATGTAATTATAGTCACAAATATCAAACACTTTTCTCTCAGTGAAGCAGTATCGAATAAATCACTATCGTAATAAATGAGAAGATATTTGTAGAATATTCCAACATTTTAGATAGAAAAGAACATCGTGTCGATTAACAAATAATTCGTATTTCGATGAATCGCGTTTCGTGTGAACGAGAGATGCTTAAAAAAACGAATTTAATTTACGAGAGACACGCATGCATGTATATTGAGATAAGCGAAATTATTTTTCTATAAAAATATTAAACGATGCTCACGCGACACAAACGGTGGACGGTATTGAAACAACACACAAGCGAAGATAATTGAAAGCATATGGATGGAAAGACAATGAATAATGCTCGTAACGTACCGCTACGTTACAAAGTGTAATTTTCTGATTTTTATTCTCGCTGATGGTAATTCAAACCTCACGTGGCGGCGACAGCTGTGACCGTCGCGTATACCGCGTATTATTTTCCCTTAGGAGATCGCATAGATTATCGTCTGATGAGGCGCGAGTAATGTCACACCGTTTCTCACCGTGTCCGCAAGTGCGCGATGACGTTTTTCCCGCGATGACGCTCTCTCTCCTCTCGTCTCGTCTCTCCACGTAATTTAAACATTTTTACGTATATTGTGATACCGCGCACGGGAATTCGCCATGCTGTTCTTTTGCACGCATTATTCATCTCTTCTTTCTCGTCGATCACGTCGATCAGGCGACAAAATCCTGCATCGCAACGGTATCTCGCTCTATTGAAAGTTATGTAAATTGCCCGGCATGCAGTGCTAATTGAACGCATACAAGATGCAGGATTCCACGATTTCATTTCGTTATCATAATTTCGTTGTGGCCCGCGAGAAATTCTTTACTTGTCAAACTTGAAAGTTCTTTGAAGAGAAAATGTCTTCGTTCCGCGAAGAGTTGATCTTTGGTATTCTGTATCTATCGCTATGGATGAAATTTAAATTTGAAATTACAACCATCTCAATTCTTGCTTGTAAATTCGTTAAAGTATCTAAAAATTTAACTAGATATAAACCTGAATATAATTTTGTTCGACTATCAAAATAATTTTGTAGGATGTTCAAACTGGTTGTTAGAATGTCAAAATATTTTGTAGCATTGCTCATCATGCTTGAGATTCTTACATAATTATTTTTGATAGTCCAACAAAACTTTTCAGATCAGTATCTAGCTGGATTTTTAGATACATACTTCAACAAATCATTCTTTCTATGTAATTATCACGTGTAGATCTCGGAATTGAAGAAAAGAGGCAGAGCGTATGTTAGACAGAAAGACTCCGAGAGTCTTTACGTCACAATTTTCTACTTTACGCGTCCATCATTTCCAGCTGCTGTCGATCTTCGAGAGGTGACCTCTCGAAGGCCGAGGATGTTTTTCCCATAGATCCGCTATTTCACGAAGGATGGTACCGCGTATCGTCGTTTTGCCATGATCGCGCCGTACACACGTGCGTGACGTTTGGGGGCAAAGTGGGGAGGAAAAAAAAGGGTTCTGCGAAGCGCTTAAACGCGCCTCTCTCGTCTTTACGTGAAAGGACCTGGACGATCGTGTCTGAGAACGCAAGACTACCGTATACCGTGGGACTCGAATTTTAATCCCGCACGCGAATGAGGCTCGTCGCTCCGACAACACACGACCTTCCCTTCCATCCCTCCCTTTCATCTCTCCTCGGTCACCTCCTCCAAATTCCGCGGCGTGGAATTTTGCCGTTCCATGTGCTCCCGCGTGTCCGATGGGACGCGAAATGAGTGTAGGCGAAGTCGGTATATGGCGAAAAAGGAGGTCTTACGATGAGGAAGACTAAAGATGGGAAATCTTCATTACATCCTATCTTCAGAATATATGCTTGAGAATCTAGTAATTACAACCATTATATTTAATAGAATTAAAATTAGCAAAACTTTTCATAAATAAGATTAATATTTAAAATTAAATAAAATTACAAGAATTACAAGAATGTTTCAACTCCTGGATTCTTTTTCAAAATGAAAATTTAATATTCGTCTTTAAAATTAATCTGTAATTAAAAATTATATCCTATAAGAGGCGTTCAAATCCCATCGTGATTTCTATGTTTCGAATTTAACAATTTTTATCTCGAACATTACACATCCAATTATTTTGCAAGAAAAAATATCCCGTTATCTAAGATGTTTAGAGTAGTTGGAGAATTTTTATTTAAAAGTATATATATTTCTTTTAATATTAGAGCAATATTTAAAGACTCGTTTTCGAGTCGTGCAATCGCAGATTTTTAATAAAAATTTTGCAAAGTAAATACAATAATTACTGAGAATGAAATGTACATTCGAAGTCACTTCTATTGCTCAGAAAGCTCAAGGGTACCTTTAATTAAATTCGAATAGGTGTAGTTAATTTCAATAATAACGTGCGTCTGAGAGCGCTTCGAAAATGCGACGCGCGATCCTGGGAACTTCGGTGGCGGTA